CCTTCAAATCGTTTCGGATGTCGAAAAAAATTCGGACCATTCCACCGCTATTTTGTTCTTGTCCCTGTTGCCTCCATTTTATACTAGCTATAAAAAAGTTATTTCTTGTACAACCAGAACGATATTTTGCGAACTTACTAAGGAGAGTGAGAGCTTCGTAACGGTACCCTGGACTTTGTCTAGCATGCTCTGCTTATTGAGTTATTGCAGTTCCAATGGTCAGTTTGAGGCTTTGAGGAGTTGTCATTTTTTTTTGGTCTGTTTGACGATGCAGTAACAAAGTGAGTGTGATGTGATGTGATGTGATGTGATGTGCGGTGTTGTGTTGTGTCACGTGGTGCGTCACACCAATAAGAAAATGCGTCATTTTTGTGTGTTATTTAAGGTGGTGTGGTCCTGGACCAAATGGCACTACCATACGTGTAGAAAAGTACTTGGTCCTGGTCCTACACCGATATAATAACTAATATTATTTTATGTTGGTAAATATGATGGTTTGGTTTATAGTTTATATTCTGGTATGGAGTGTTTTATATTTTCTTGGTTGGATATTACAAGCAGAGAAATGAATGAGCAGAAAAGGTGTTTTATATAAAGTAATTGTTTTAAACTCTTTTTGGTATTTCAGTCTTATTTTGTGTAGGATTTGTACTGCAGTCTACACAAGTGAAAATCATGGAAACTAATTGGGCGGAGACGGGAAAAAGTCAAAATGCGTTTTCCTTTTTTATTTTTTCTCTGTCTCGTTTTTTTCCGCTGACGTATATTTTTGCTCATGACATAACATATATCAGTACTTCATGCATTATTTTAATTTTATTCATCTTGGTTCCTCTTCGAAACTTCATTTGCTTAAAGCAACATGGCGATGACCAAGGCGCCAGCAGCAGGTACAATGCTCCTGCTTTTAGCTTTAACATCAGAGGCAGCAAACACATCCATGTCAACACTGTCTGGCACAACAGAGACTCTGGCAGAAAATACACCCTCTGCTTCCTTTCCTGATGCCTGTAAGTCGCGCACCCTAGAAAATGAAAAGCTCTGTGCTTTAGTGCTGCCGTTGTCTCCAAGACGACGGAGTGGGGGTCTTGGGGTTGGGCGTTGGGTTGGGGTTGGGCGTTGGGTTGGTCTTGGGCGTTGGGTTGGTCTTCCATCAGATCCCGTGTATTTCAGAACCGCACTGCCAAAGCAAGTAAAAGAAGTTGGATTTGGAGACTCGGGATTGGAGAAGAATCCTGCAGTAACAACGCTAGTAAATCCGGTGGCCTTCTCGTGGTTGTCATCATCATCCCAGTTTACCTCGGTGAGAGTGTCAGTTTCACCATCAATACTCACAATCATTCGGCCCTGATGCTCGTTCTCACAAACCACGTCCCTGAAATCAGTGATGAAATAATCTGTGACAGAATCATCGGTTGTCACACAAATTTTAAAGTCTTGACCAACCTTGAACGGACCTGTGTTGTCGCCACACAACGCTGCGGTGACACTGATCTCCTTCGTTGCCTCTGCACTAGCGTCGGTGGCCGCAGTGCCAGAGATATCCACCTCTGTTAAGGTGAAGGAATTAAACTTTGCTGTTAGGTCAATTGTTATGGTCAACTTGGAATCAATGAATGAAACAGGTTGGTGAACATTGTTTCTATTGGATTCCTTCCAAAACTGATAGTAGTAGACTGTTCTGACACCTGAAATGTGAAAAGAAACGGATTCAGAAACACAAAAGATAACAAACCAGATGCATGTTGGGCTCAGTATATCCAGGGCAACTTACAAAATTTAGCCTCCGCGGTATTGTCGTCGATCTTTTTGTAGATGTCCTTGTGCTCGTAGTCTTTAATACCAAATGGAGCTACTCCTAAACACCGCGAAAGACATTAAATTGGTCAGGTTTAAAATGGTGAGAAACACAACAACCATGTTCACTTTTTTGTGACGTATCCTTCCCAACTAGCAACTCACCGATTGCACAATTTTCTCTGTCAGAGGTCATAAATTCAACTATTTCTTCCATGCCTGGTTGTTCCATGGCAGAATAAATGGCTTTGCCATCGGCAGTGGTGCTGTTCCACATTACCATGAGGCCACTTTTATCCGATTCGTATTCAATGACATCATCTTCGGTAAGTTTTTTTCCCTCGCTACATTCTTTCCCGTTGTCAGGCATGGTGTAGATCTCTACGTTTGGTAGTACTTTGTTGTCCTTGTTGTACTCAAAAAGGACGAAACCTGAAAGGGGTTCCAATGATCGGATGTGTGCGTGATTATCGTATCTTTCGGCAGCAATGAGTTCCCACTGGTCAATGGGTTTGACAATGGGACTAGGAGTGGGGCATGTAGATAGATCCCGGCAAAATAACTCTCCACTGTCACAACTCGTGCCCAAAAAAATCTTCATCCATTTCCAACCATCTGCGAATCTATGGTGCATATCGCCCGTGGCATCTTCATCCGCTGCTTTCTTCCAAGAGGGAAGGCACTGATTGAATTGCTCGGCATTATTAAACATTCTATTGAACTTCTCTTCAAAATTACCTTCGTCGTTTGGTTTTGAGATATCCCAAGAGTCGAGCCCCTGATTAAACGTTTTATGGTTTTCAAACATAGCATAAAAGTCAGTGACAGAACTAGTATCCCACCCTACGATGGATGGGTTGTTGAACACGGATCCCCCCGAAAACATTCCTCTCATTTTAGAAACCTTCGACACGTTCCAGCAGTTCAGAGCGCCGTTGAATCCGCGCGAATATCGTTCTGTAAAAGCACTCGTCATATCCGTGACGTCGGAGGTGTCCCAGCAACGGATGTCCTCGCTGTTCTCGATCGCTTGATTGACCTTGTTATAAAACTGACGGTAATCAATACTGCCATCGATCTTTTTTCTTGGTAGTTCACACTGTCCACAGTCGAAATCATCACCCGCGTGAACAGCGACAGCAATGGCGGCGACACAAATGGCAGAGAGTTTCATTCTTTCGGAGACTGGTAGATGTCGATGAATGAAAAGAGAAAATGGGTGAGCTGGAGACTTTGGTATGCAATTGGCAAGCCTCTAACAATCTATGCATGCTACAAGCCCCTATGGACAACACCGTCGCCGTCGGCACCACAGATGTACCGAAGAACCACACAATGACGTCGTATTGGAAGAGATCCGCAATGGACGCGGCCCCTCAAACGAATTTCCTCCAAAACCGAAACGAAGGCCACGGGGTCGCCGTTGGCATCAAAGCATTCCCCGGTTGTTGGCGGGACATTGCTCGGCCATTAAAAGAACCACACAAGGACCCCTGGTGGACTCGGCTGTAAACATCGGCCCCTCAACTAGAGTTTCTCCAGAACCGAAACGACGGTTACTGTTACGGGGTCGCCGTTGGCATCCAAGACGCTAGGACTCAGCCCGAGTCCCGCACAGATCGGTCGTATCGGAAGATCCGGCACAAGGATATTGCGTGTCCTCGGCAACCCCCTGGAGCTGGCCCGGATGATGGAGGCCGCCGGTGCCTACGTTACGAGCCTCTCGGGGCAGAGCGCTGGAGGACGCGGAGACAAACGCGGCGGCGAAAGTCCGGGAGACAATGCGGGGGAGGACTCCAAAGCAGTTCCCTTTATCTGCATCCGGACCCGGAGCGAAGAGGTCCTCGTGGCGCATCTGGAAACGACGAGGGGATCGCCGGTGGGTTCTACCCCTATCGCGCAGTCCAAATCACTTCTCGATGAAGAAAGGCCAAGTTTTGTCACGGACGAAGAAGTCTCACCTTCTGAATACTTTGTACTCGTTATTAGGAAATTTTGACTTAGTTTCTTGCATTTCAAGCTGAAGCCAAACAAAAATTATGGACGGAGATTACAGGTGCAAGATTTCTGAACTCATTCCTTTCGTACTGGTATTACACGAACGATGAAAGCAATTGGAATATGTTGGCGACCGACTTCGAAGTTCGAAACAACTTATTTGAGCATCTCTCCTTTTTTTATTTAACCTTCACTCGTCAATGATAAAAATATTGTTGAGAATCTGTTTGTCATAGTTCTGGCGGAAACTGCTTTGATCCAATCAGCAGGGGGGAGACTGTTACTTCGAGGCTTGAATTGAAGGAACTTGCTTAACCCAATCGAGAGATTGAGTTAAGCCAATAGCAAAGAGAAGGATTGATGTTTTTGAGGAAACTGATCGTGATGTAAGATGGATCCAAAGGAAGTTGTTTCATCCAATCGATCGACTCACTTATTGCAATCGGCACAGACAAACCGTAACTTCGAGGATTGAATTGAAGGAACTTGCTTAACCCAATCGAGAGATTGAGTTAAGCCAATAGCAAAGAGAAAGATTGATGTTTTTGAGGAAACTGATCGTGATGTAAGATGGATCCAAAGGAAGTTGTTTCACCCAATCGATCGACTCACTTATTGCAATCGGCACAGACAAACCGTAACTTCGAGGATCGAATTGAAGGAACTTGCTTAATCCAATCGAGAGATTGAGTTAAGCCAAGAGCACAGAGAAGAACTGAGTTTAAGGAATTCATCGAATTAAGCCAATTCCAAAAAGAAGAATTGAGAATGTTTTTGAGTTTCACTCTTTCATTGATTTTGTAAAGGTTAAGACGAGAATGACAGAATTTTCTGTGTTCACACCATGCGTTACTGTTATTTATGAACGCGAAATACGGAACGTATGTACATAGGTATATATATAAATAATACATGCGTACATAAGCATCCAACAGGCCACCAAAACAAGGAACAGCGTATTCCTCGATGTCTGATATAGTATGCAATATTGTATGCAAAATGCAACTGAAAATCCTCTCTCATTATTGCCTTTGGGCATTAAAATTCCTACTGGATAGGCATATGGTGAGATCCAAAGCACATATGGTAATACCCGTACTCGTACCTCTTTGGCGCAAGCACAAGCACAGGCACAAGGTTCAGTGCCGTACCGTATCCTGTACTCGTACTACCTCCGCATGTGAAGCAAGTACTGTAGTACAGTACGAGTGCAATTACGTACTCGTACCTCCGCTTGAGGTCGGTACAAGTACGGTCCTACTTCTACCAATAAATCCTTGCTCCCGCGCACGCCGTGACGGTGGCCCTTTTCCTTCAACGGACGATCCCAGCCTTCTTGGAGGCTGTACCGGTAGAGCAAGTTGTGCGTTGCATGTATGTTGTACTCATACCCACCGGTACTGGCCGGTATGGTACTCGCATTATGATCATGTGAAATGATACAGTACCAATGCAATAAACCACGAACCAGTTCAAGCACGAGTATTCGTACTCGTCCTTGTAGCCCAAGGACCAAACTTTAAAAAATTTCCCTTCATTCAACGGTTCTACTCACATAATTTACTTAACCCTCCGTCTTTGTGACTAATTGGAGCGGAAAATTGTGGACCACCACATGGAATCGCGGGAGTCGTGCAGTACATCGTATTACTACTACGTAATACCCATTGGTACTCAGAGCTTGGCATCGTCCTGTAGGGTACCGTACGGTTCCCTACCTCATTGGATGCTTGTAGAAGGTATAGTATGGGGAGGTCCTACGGCAGGGGTCATAATTATGACACCTGCCATACGGTACGTACCGACCGGTACAATACAATGGAGTACTCTCGTACTACCTCGTACGGTACGGTAGAACGAACTCGTAGTTGTCGTTTACGAAGTAGAAGTACGGAAGAAGGAGTGCGTTACGTTACCTACACTGTTGTACGAGTACGAACGACCTACGGGTACGAGTACGAAGTACCGTACCGTACCCTAAGTTCGACACGGTTCTCCGAGGGATTTGCTCCGAATCGGTGTTGAATCGTAACGGTTCCGTTCTTACTGTATTCACGAACCAGGTACGGTACGCTACGGTACGAGTGCAGTACGTACGTTACAAGTACTTTACCATCTATTCTCGCACCGGTACGAGTAGCGCGCGCACCTCATAAAGATGAGTTTGCGTTGCGCCAAGAAAGAACCGTTATTCAACCCTGCGAGCAGCCCGAACCCACGCGCAACAACGGAAAGCGTCACCGAACGATTCGCGGTCGCAGTTTTCATTCGCTGTCGCAGTCGCTGTCGCTGTCTCCCTTGGCATTCCCACGAACGACGCCAAGGGATTCGCTACTCCCATCAAAGAAACAAAGCAACAAAGCAACAAAGCACTAGGCCAGAAACAAGCAAAGCAAACGAGTGCCGCAGCAATGGTTCCGATATCTACTATATTGCAGTAATATTGTAGCAGTAAAGAACATTAATCATCTCAACGAAGCCGGATCGAGTTGATTGCTGTAGCAATCACAGAAGCAGCAGCAGCAGCAACAGCAACAGCAACAGGAGCGACAGTAAGAACATTGAAATCGGTATATACATCTACATCCACACATACATCTACATACGTATACATATACATCCACTTCCACATCCACTTCCACAGCAATAACCGCTCTCGACGTTTCAAAAGTTGTTGCTGCCGAACAGACCCGACGCCCCGACAAGAGACGAAGACAAAGTATATTTTCGCCTTCCGCGCAGTTTTGGACGGAGAGTCTCTGGTTTAGCCAACCCAAGGCATTTGACTCCCACTCAAATATTTCTATTCGTTTTCTCGAAGAGACGTTCCTGTGACTATAACTGCAACAGCAGCAGCAGCAGCAGCAGTTTGGAATTCGAACTCGGATTCGAACTCGGATTCGAACTCGAACTCGCCACTAGTCTTGTCAAAAATAGCGAAACCAAAGAGAACGAAGTAAAATTTCATTTCGTTTCCTTTCCTTTCCTTTCCTTTCGAACAAGAACAAGATCTAAAACTAAAACTTGAACTAGAAAACAAAGATGGTGGCGAGAAGAACTACCAGCATCGTCCCCGACGACGAACCGGGCGCCATCGAACTCATGGAAGACGATCAACCCTTCGACGTTGTCAAGGCGAATTCGTCCCTCGACGACGGATCCGATGGATATGGTCACCGGCGAAGAAGAGGAAGGGCAACCGTGACAGCAAGAGCAAGAGCGAGAGTAGCAGCGACAGCAACAGCGACAGCAAAAGCCACGTCCAAGGAAGAAGAAGAAGAAGGGGACCTCCCCGCCCTGTCGTCTTCGCTGAACAGCAGCCACAACAGCAACAGCAACAGCAACGATAGAAACAACGCCAGCAACCCCAATGCGCAGTCGCTCAACGACAGCGCTCTCTCGCAGGCGACGGCACTCACTCGCAACGTCACGGGGGGGCAATCGGCCCGCACCCGCCCCCTTTCTCCACCCAGCCGAGCCGGCCTGGACGATCCTAGGGAATACCAACAGCGAAAGAGGCGTGTCGCTGGGGAGGACGCGGGTGCCAGCAACACCAGCAACAGCAACAGCACCGAGGGAAACGGAAACGAAAACGGAAACGACGAGCATCGAGACAACGAAAACGAGATCCAAAGCCAAAACGCCACGGAGCGCTTTGCTCCCTCCTCCCGGGGCCGGTCCTACGCAAACGAGATGCCTATGGACGAGCGAATGGAATACGAGGACGAGCTCCGGGCCCTGGCGCTCTGCGACGACTACGACGGATCCCAAGGAATGCCCGACTTTTGTGACTCGGCCCTCAAGGCCATGAACGAAATCTGTGCCGGCGCCACTGGGAGCGGCAGCGGGGCAGCTGCCGGTGGTGGCTTGTCATCGACACCCAAACCGAAACTCAAATTAGGAGAGCGCCATTCGGTCCACAACGGCGCGTCGGGGGTGGAGGAACAAACCGCTATCGAGGTCGAGTACGTCGAGCCAATGTACAAGGGGCGAAGGTTCAAGGACGACGATGGTGCAAACCACGCGTCTCCCAAGCGCAAAAAGGCACTCCTCCGTGCCATGACCAAGCGGGCGAGGGACGAGTTTAAGAGCAAAACACACTCGTCCACAAAACCACCCAAAAACAAGGAAGACGCCACCTCCGACGGTGAACAAGGGGCCACCAACGCTAGCGACGACAATATATATGCAACCTTTAGCAGCATCGAAAAACGAAAATTCCTCAAGCTCATCAACGGAGGCGTCTCCCCACTTGACGCCACGAACACCATATTGAAGGATCGAACTACCAGTGGCAACAATGACCAAGACAACGACGAAAAAAGCCACGACAGCGACGACAGCGACTATTACCCAGGCATTCCCGACGACGACGAAGATGAAGAAGAACAGGAGCAGGAAGACCAAGCCGCAGTGGTCGGGGATTCCCCCCACTCCAGGGCCGGCAAGAAGGGCATCAACAAGCTCGCATTTTGGAAGCGAAAAAGCAGTGGTGGTTCTACGTCTGGATCGACATTGGTATCGGCATCGGCCCGTGTTGTACCGCCCGCAAGGGTCTCCCCAGAGAGGGATTACAATGGTTACGAGCAGCAGCGGCAGAATGAGGAAGAAGGCAGCGACGGCAGTGTTAGCAGCTGCGAGCAGGTTGGAGACGAAATCAAGACCTTTCTCAGGGCAGAACGGGAGAAAGTAAAAAAGGCCAAAAAGGCAACAAACACGAAGTCGAAATCGAGGTCGAAGTCGAACTCCAAACCGTCCGCGGGGGCAACCGAGATCATCGGAGACCTTCAGAACGAGAACTACCCCTACGATACGGGACGCGATGCAAATACGAATGCGAACGCGAACAACAACAGCAACAAAGAGGCGGAGGATCACCAATTCGAGCGCTCCGGAATTAACTACTATGATGCGGTGCGCAAGGACCGCTCTGGCGAAACCTACGAGACCGACGACTTTAGCGAGAGCGGCGCTTCTTCCAAGAAGCATCGAAAACTCAAGATCCCCAAGAGCATCAAGGGAGGCCTGTCGAAACTCGCGCAACGGACCAACAACCGGCCAACACCGGTGCCGGACGAAGCAGAAGACGGAGACCGGGACGAAGCCGAAACAGAGCGAATCGCTACCAGAGCAACTAGTACCACGGGTGTGCAAGACAAACAGATGATCGAATCACACGCCTCGATTCCATCCCCAACCAAAGAGACACTGCGGATCGTTGGAGCCGCGGAAGGGGACGAACCCGACGGTTTTATGCAGCAAGCGAGCATTCCGCAAACCATGTCCAGGGAATCCTTACTGGACGACGAGGGAGAAGTACATCCGCCATATCACCTGCGACAAGAAGCGATGGAGAGAGAGCTAGCTCGAGATGACTCCAAAGAAGATTCCCTGGATATGGATGCATACCTCTCCGAAACTGTTTCGCAAGTCGGTGGCGGAAGCAGTAGCCACAATAACCGAAGCTTTGACGGGGTATCCGTCGTCAGCGGTAGGTCCCACCGGACGGCGGGAACGAACCACACTACCCAGTCGACTCGGAGCCGACGGCCAGGCCAGGCAAAGGTACGACTAGAGCAGAAAAAGGAAGCCCTCAACATCTCTGGCGTCAGTAGTAAGTCGCATGGCTGGCAGGAGTCGATCGAGGTCGCGGCGCTCAAGGTAGGTAAGGTCTGGGACCCCAGCCACGGATGGAAAGATTACGTCGATCCTAACAGCACGGAAATTCCTACCGACGATTTCTTTGATGAGTCCATGGCGCTGGCCGCGCAGCAACCAGCAGATGCCAAGAGCGTTTCGACAGCACCTTCGGAGGCAGGAACGGCGAGCAACGAACAGCCACTGAGTCCGGGCCAAAGCATAGCAAAATTGCCTAAATCGCCCAGATCACCCTTGAGTAGATCTGGGAGAAAGGGAAGGCCGCAAAAGGTTCCTACGGTTACGAGTCCCAAGGGCGACAAACCCCGAGGATGGGCTGAGACCATGAGGGCTGCCGCCGCTAGATTGGACATTGGAGGTAAAAAGTGGGATCCTGTTAAGGGATGGGTCGGACTTAGCGAGGAAGATTCCACAATAGTGGCTGGTGTTTCGGAGAGGCGAGATGCGCTCGATAATGTAGGGATAACCGCAGAGTCGGATCTCCAAGACTTTGGAACTGTCGCGCACCTCGACGCTATCGCAAACAAACAGGACAAGAGCATGCAGTTTTTGTCTGAGGACGAAGAGCCTAGCAATGAGGCAAACAACAATTATATGGAAGAAGAGGAGACAACCTTCGATGGAGATCAATCGAGCGAGATGAAGTCTACAGGCGCGACCAAGTCGATTAGCAACAATTCGGGAAGGTATGTTCAGATTGCAGAAACAGGATCCGTTCAGAGTCACTACCGACGAACGAAGGCCGATCCGAATTCTAAAAGGATGGTCAACGTGAAGAGGGAGAATCTGAATCAAGGAGAGCTTGACATGTTTCAGGAATCGGCGGAACGACGCAAGGGCAGCGGCCCTGTAGACCTCGATTCTCTATATGAGGAGGAGGAGCACGATGTTTCGTTTGGTCCCGGGTCGGGAGCCAAGGTTGTTTCTGGTCCTAATGCCAACGCGATTTATCAGAGCATCTACGAGTCTCAAAGCAATGGAAGTTTTGATGGTGAGGACTTCTCTTGGGACGCAGACGATGCGGTCAATGAATCAGTTGACTCTCATGGTAGGAAACCGGCACCAAGATTAAAGATTAAAATTCGAGATACAGCATCAGTCTCGTCACGACCAAATTCAGCGAAATCAGCCACAAAATCACAGAGCGAGGCCTCATTTGATTCCGGTTCTTCGCCGATTCCAAAGCTAGCAGCACCAAAAAGAGACACGTCTCCAATTCGTGCAAAACCGGCGAAGACCAACGCTGCGCTAGTTTCCAAAAAGATTGCGCCGGCTTTATCTTCTAGCCATTCCGCACAAGATGACGATAGCCCGTTCAAGACTGATGATGCGTTCAGAAATACCCTAACTTCTACTCAAAACGAGAGCGATGAGGATGGCGACAATCATGATGCAGCAGTGAGCAGTGTCATTGAAAAAATTACACCTACCGCTTTAAGCAATCCTAGGACTAAGACTCCTCCCAAAATTTCGGAACTTCACAAATTATGGGAGGCGAAAACAGCTAAAAGAGACAATGAGAATCCCAGTTCCAAGAGAAAAGATACCCAGAATCCTGAGTGGAAATCTTTCTTGGGGAAGAAGGTTGACGCCGAGAGCGCTGCAGCTGCGGGTATGGATGTGGATGTGGATGTGGATGTGGATGTGGATGTGGATGTGGATGTAGGTCCGGGTCCAGATCCACATGCAATTGACGAAGACCGTGATTCCACCTTTGATTTTGACGGTGAATACTCAGGGAACTTGCGGAAGTCGTCGGAGGGAAAAGTACGACATGGAGATAGCAATCAAGTCGAACCAGAAGATGCATCTGCGTTTGATGACATATCTGAACTGTCACCCATTCGTCACCACAACGAAGATTCCGAAACCGAGTATGGTCAGCACTCTGAAGCAAGCACATCTGTCCTCCAAGGAACAACATTCCTCCAGCGGTTGCAAGCGTGTGCAGCTCCCGTGGTAAAAAGTGGGACGAAATGTGTTGCCGAAAGTCCCATGTCAGCGCATTTGGCATTTTTAAGAAATAATCAGAGAGTACCCGGGGGCAGTCCAGATATAAAGAATGGAGGAAAAAGCGGAATTTTACAAGCTTCGGCCGGCATTTGTGGTCGGCCAGATGTAATAGATGAGGAAGACGAGAGCACCATGGGTGAATCAGCACCCTCTCGATCTACAATGCAGAGTGCGTCTCCCAATATGATCAAGTCTCGTGACAGCAATTCGAGATCGCGCTCGAATCCGAGATCCAGACAAAATGCAAGCAAGGACGATCTCAGCAGTGTGATTTCGGATGGATTCGGGGCAAAATCTGCGTACTTGGAAGCCATTGCCATGAAAGCTGCGGTTTCGGGTGGGTCCAAGAAGAAGAAACGACGATCTCAAGGGTCGGAGGCAAGTGCCACGACAGCCACATCGAGACGCTCGTCTCCTGGTTCAAGTGTGAGTGCAAGCAACAACGTCAAACGCTCTGAAAAGTTCCAGCAATTCCTTGATCGGCGTGCTGCTAAGGACGAGCAGTCGAAACAGTCAACGTTGCAACCGTCACGATCTGCTGAAAAGTCAGAGGTTTCGAGTCGAGCAGAGAAATATGCTTCGGAAAAAATGAACGAAATGATGGACTCCATGGACAATAGAGGCCGTGCTCAGGAAGAATACGAAAAGTCGGGTGCATTCCCAAAATTGCCTGGTGCAACTAACACTGGGAATGATGCCGTATTATCGGCTGCCGAAGAATTAGCTGCTGCTCGAGTGGAAGCTATGATGCAGCGACTCTCGGCTCAAGATCTCGAACGTAATGAGGCCGAAATATAGTGCCTGAAAACGTGATCTGCCAAAATATCTTTTTTACACCTTTGTACAACAAATTAAAAAAACTAATAGTGAAAAGTGTTTTTGTACTGTTAAGAAATCATTCTACACGCCGTGAAAGGTTGGCAACGATACTACCTAGTGCTCTTAACCTTCTCTCTGTCAGAGATATGACGAGAATAGAGACGTGAAGAAATTAAACTTGAGGTGTTCCTTGTACGACGTCGATAGCTCCTCGCATTAGCGAAGTATGAATTGTGAAGGAAAAGCCAAGTATGACTGCTATTTGGAAAATATGCGTATTTCATTACTGTACAAGTTATTCGATGCACCGACTTGATTCTCACGACAGCCGCCACCAGCAAAGCAACTACCAACCTGGCGCATGTTTGCTGTGTTATGATATGTATAACAATCAGAACCAATTCGTACAGTCTGGGTAGCACACTTGAAACTCTTCGAAGCTGGAAAATAGTCCTTCAGTAGGTCTGAGGCCTGTGGACAGAAAACACGACGTTGCATCTGTTCGCATCCCCAGAAAGCAGCAGCAGTAGCAATGCATGGCTGGTAACGTATTGTTTGGAGAGGACCGCCTTCGAAAGCGTCTCATCTATCGATATCACAAGACAACAACAATCGTACTTTCTTGTTCCTTCTTTGTCTAAGCGATTTGCGAGGCCCTTGCCAATGCCGCAGCAGGACTGTTGTCCGAGTCGAGTATTCCACCCTGTTGTCCAATGGTACCACGCGACGAGGGGGCTCCGGGCACGGGGTCGGCCTTCGCTACCCTACGGTAAAGGTCCCAGTTCATTTTCAGGATCTCAAATTCACCCGACTCGCGATATCCACCGGGAACGTTATTATCCTTTGCAAACTTTTGCAGGATTGGCCTGAGCTTGGGATAGTTCATGCGAGGCATGGATGGGAAAAGGTGGTGTTCGAGCTGATATTGCATACCACCCCAGAGCCATTCAGAAAACGGGTTGGTAGCGACGGCATTGCGAGTGGATTGGAACTGTGCTGTCACCCAGTCTGGTTGATATTCAGAAAACATTTCCTCTGATTGGTGTGTGGGCGTAACAATCAGGGCACTGAGTAGACCGGACATGAAAATGGCGGGTAACCACACCTTGATGGGGAAGATGGCGAACAACCAGGTGTAGTGAAAGAGAATTGAGTAGAGCCCGGGTTTGGATCCGGCACGTTTTTGTCGGACACTCGAAATGGCAACCTTCACGGAATCGATTCTCCACAGGGCGAATAGGAAACTAAATGGAATATAAAAAATCAAGTGCTGGATCTTTCGAAGTGGGTGATCATTTTCTGGGGAGGGTGCCCACTGAAATAAGAAAGGGTCAGTAGCAATGTCCTCATCCACACCCTGCTCATTGGCTGTAGTTTGAAACAGAAAAAGAAATTGTGTGGCGGTGGAGAGCGAAGAAGATATTGTTAGAAAGGAAGAAATAAATTCATTAAACTAGTCGGTAGTTTGATTTGTGTTCGGTTGCATGAATTTCGTTCAAGTACACTTACTGAGCGCGTGGTGCTTATTGTGCTTGTCGGACCACCACACAGGTAGCAATCCAGCCGCCATTGCCGCAAAATTCCGAAGCTTGTCGGAAAAGGGGTCGACTCCGTGAATGTAATCGTGCCCGAGCCATCCAGCGGCCGTCATGGAGAGAGCAAGCAACACCGTTCCAATAACGGGGTGACCAGTCCTAGCCGCTACCGCACCGAACGCAACGAGAGATCCCCAAATGCCCAGCAGTTTGGATTCGTGTTTCAAGTCGCGCTTCCACCAGCCGTCCTTCTCAAGCTGATCCCGGAGCTTTCGAAAGGCAATTTGAGTGTCACTGTCGGGTGTTGCATTGGCTTCCAAAACATCGCGGACGTCGGGCTTGGTCTTGGGCAGACGCTTGACCATTTTGCGACCCTTTTCGGAATGGAAGCCGTCCATGACTTCAGTGGCATCACGACCGTCGTACCAGTCGATCCAGTGTTCTCCGGCAGGGTGAGCCTTTCTCCACCCTGTGTGTCAGGGTTCGAGAATCGTTTGTTTGGTGTTCGTTCAATTTTTGTATGAAACAGAGAATTGCGACAACGCATTCCATCGAAGTAGTTGGGATTGATGTTGCAGGATCGGTTAGAAAAACAAACAAAAGCAGTGCATTCTGAACAAAGCAGACCGTGTGATTATGTCAAAGACAAACACAGCATCGTTCGGGAGTCAAAACGAAATCCAGATCATCAGTTCTCATCCGATTCTTTCCGTTTCGAGAATGTTGCCGTGAGTTGGCTACTTTCTTTTTTCTTTCCGGTTGCGTCTCCTCTGTCCATCATTAAAGCCATTAGGTGCACTTCATTTCGTTACCTACCTGTGAGATCGTACCACTCTCCGTGGATGCGTACATCTAGCGAAGTACGGGGCTTTGAATTTGAATCCTTTGATAATTCATTGTCTCCGACTACAACATTCGGGGTTTCAAGCGTAGACGCCACCAACGAAGTGGGAGAAAACGAGGACGTGACACTCGCCACAGCAGCTTTGCGTCCCGGCATCACGAAAGCGTCGGTGCTGATCGCTGGCAGCATTGCCAGTGCGGCGGCAGCAGCCGGCATCGTCTTCTTCGAGTTCGCGATAATCTTCATCTTATCTGGTGGATTTGCGTCGACTTAAGGTGCGTTGAGGAAGTGGTATGATGTAAACCGATAAGAGTGGAGTGCAAAGTGTTCACCACGAATGCAATCTAATAATGTATTGTTGTTCCAATTTTTTGTTGTTTTGAGACCTGGAAGCAACTGGGATTCTAGTGAATTAGTAGGTCAATCAGATCGAGATAGTAGGATCAAGAACGACAGGGAAGTTTCGTACTCGTACTCGTACCGGTACTCTTGAGAACGGATTAGAAGAAGCGTCGGACCAAAACAAAAAACGATGCGCTGTTTTGTGGTATTGTATTTTCTTTCTTTTCCCAAAGATTGTATTGAAGGAGGGAGGGGCAGATTGACCAAGGCCAAAAATCATCAGTTTCACTTTTCCGAAAGTACGAGTATTGTACAGTAGTACCTAGAGAGCAAAAGAGGTACAGTACTTCGGGGAGCAGGTTAGTTTGATGATGGAATGATCGGCCAGTTCATTCGTCGACAATGCTTACACGTGTGGAGACCATCGCATTTCGATTCCATTCAGTCGCGTTTTCACGTGAGAAACGGAGAATCATGTGATGGCTAATATTACGAGTACAAATAACTCGTACGAGCAGTACAGTACAGTACTGGGTACTGGCCTCTCTTGGACCACGCAACTCTAGATAGATGATTTTTTTGGTTTTTTGTGATGATCACTGCCTTAGTTTCCACATCTTTCGATCCGGCACAGTCTGTCTTCAAGTTACATCGTCCCGACGGCATCGTGCGTGGTCGATCATGACCGAGACGTACATCACCTGAACACGCGGTCTGGTTTTCATACGTGCATCCTAAACATTGTGCGTCATTAATAAAGCTTTGGGGTTCGCCCAATGAAGGATGATTAGGTTCGCCAAGGAAACGAGTTCTGATTGGTATCTGATGCATGCATGACTGAAGTTGAAAGGGGCGCCAAGTCCAAGGATTGATTCAATAACATGCCATCGGAGACGTTTTCTGTTTTCTCTCAACTGCAAACTGCATACTACAAGTACGTATCATAGGTACCAGCTTAATCGATAGAAAATAAATTAGTCGTAGAATCCTACGGTTCACATGAAAATACATCCTATTAACAGGGCAAACACAATTTCAACAATGGTATGGTGCACCTCTTTTGAATACAAATGACCAATATTAGAATTCAATCTATGCTGATTTGAAGAACACTTAAGAGCAACAACTCTATCTTAGCCATCCTCATGTGCAACAAGTAGTGGTGGTGGCATATCAAAATGAACGTTGTTGGACCCCCCCCCCTGCGGCTGCTTTCTTCAATCAATGCAAAAAATCAAAATGACATGATTTAAAGGCTCTGTTTGAAGTCTTATGACTTTATCTTTATTATTGGCCATGAAACAATTAATGGCATAGCAAATTTGAACAGTATAAAATAAGGCAAATACTACTAGAAGAAGAAAAGAACCATCCCAGTCTGCCATATATTGAGCTTATTTTCTTACTACTACTAGTAGTAGTAGTAACAAGCTTGTTCTTGTTGGGGGATAGTAGTAAAATTGTGGTTAACTTTGAAGCCTGGCAAACTTTTTTCTTTGAAGTACCAGATCCTGCATACATCTACAGGTTTTCAGTCACTTTTTTACTGCAAACCGTGTAATGGGACAAATAGAAGAAGAAGACTGCTGCTCTGGTGGTACTATGGTCCACCACCACAACCACCAGCAAGAGCAGCCACAGCTGCTGTTCTTTGAGGACAGGCTTCCAAATAGTAGTCTTAGGAAGAAGAGTGTCCTGTGTTATTGTTACACTATTTTAGACCTGGGGGGAGCTGGAAGACAATTAACAGTCAGTGTTTCCAAATTTTGCTGTTTTCAGATATCAAAAAACATCTCATCTAGTAGACCAGCACCAACTAGTGCCCAGTCCAAGTTCATACAATTACCCAAAGATGGGTGTCATTGGGAGGAAGCCAAAGGATGCCCTAGAGGCTCACAGCTAGGAGTCTGTGAAAGTCATACTAGTAGTGGATGGCCAATTTTTGTGTCAATTTTGGGTGTAATTTTATATCAATTAAACTGGTACTTGTTGTATTCATAACACCATGCTACTACTAGTACTACTATGACTTTAACACTCATTTTGCCACTTGCTCCCCATTTTCTGTTTAGAAGACCAAAAGTTGCACCCTACACAAAATGGGCCATTCCCAAAAGCATTAAAATGTGTGTTTTTTGCCTGACCAGTCTTTTAATGTATCTCAAATACACATGTTGGTTGTACTGCTAGTAGCATCACTAATATCTCCCTCTTTACAACCAAGATCTGAGCATTGTTTGCAATAAGTTTCCATCAGAATCCTTGTTGACTACTAGTACTAAAGATTTTTAAGAATCTACAACTTAGATTAAATATAATTCCAACTTCTGTAAAAAGGGGGAAAAGATGAGGTAAGCTCAGCAAGCCTTCCACAAGGTCTTCAATACTACTCAGAACATTCCCACTAACACATATCTGTTATGTTTTTGGGGATGACCCAACAATAGTGGTGCTGTATCATAATATTAGTGTACATACTACAATGAAGTACAAGAAAGTACTCAATAGCAGAAGAATTGGGGGCAGCAGACATGCATATCAATATTGTTATCAGTCCACATGACCCACATGATCCACCTAACATTGAAAGGTTAACAATATTTTGGCCCTGATTGATGCCAAGAACTCCTGCCAGCAGTAGTCATGGACAAAATGATGACATTTTGGGGATCTTCTTGTTTGTCCCAGCACTGTACTACTAATGAGATGCCAGCAACAGAGAAGAACAAAAAGAAAAACCTTTTATTGTTGCGCCCTAGTATTGCTGAAGTTCCAGATATCTGTATGAATTTTGATATTGATGCGAGATGGATAAATTTTGAAGTTGGGTGAATTGATGTTTTGTTGAAAATCATGAGGAAGACACTAGTAGTATGCAATCATTCTTTTTTGCTGAATGGTATGATGACATTCTAATTTAGTATTAGTATTATTACAGGAACAAGAAGCTTCTGCAATTTCATTGCCACCACCAGCAAGTTGAGAGAATTCAAACTTTATTCAAGAGAGGCATACTATATTATCAGAAGAAGCTTGGTGTCAAGAAGACTACTACTTTGTGCTTCCAGCCACTGGACCAATTGGAGTCCTTTAAGCAAGAAGGAAGAGAGAAAATAGAGTTGTAATGCCACTTCTGCTACTAGTAGTAGCTCTTAGTAAAGGGACTCTCCTCTCCTTTCACCACTGTTGAAGAAAGAAATTAAGAACCCAAAAATGCTAGGGCTACTAATTCATCCACAAGAGAGATCCTCTTGTTCTGCTATTATCAACTGCATTGCAAGAATTTATCCTTTTCCATAAAGAAGCTACAGCATGCAGCATTTGTTGACAGTGGCTACATTGTGGCTACATTCTTAGTAGTAGTGGTGGTGTTAGTGGGTGCCTAGATGTTCATGCATTGACGCAGACAAGCAATGGCCCCTTCCTTGACAACCCAACTTTGCAAAAGAAGGTGGGAAACCTATTCAGCAGCAGTGCTGTACTAAAAAGAAGGTGCATACTAAAACATCAGGTTGTAGTAGGTTCTCCATTGGGCAAAGATTGTGAAGGCAACATCTAGAGGTTCACAAATAATTCTTTGGTGTTTGGAAAATCTCAACCTTTCACCATTTCACCATGACTCACTTTTGAACAGAAGGAATGATGATGAGGTATTCAAGAATCTGATGCAAGGAACTCAAGGAATAGACAGCTTCCACAGGAAACTTTTCTTTTGTCCAAGCAAAGTAATGCTGTTCTCAACTGGTGTTTTGTCTTCTACTAGAGAGAGAGAGAGAGAGAGAGAGAGAGAGAGAGAGAGAAACTTCCTTGTGGTGATTTGAGGATTGAGTTGATTTCAGAAGGTTCCTTTGTTGCATGCTAGGACCCAGAAGAACCACCTTGTTCTGAAATCTTGAAAAAAGTCCTGAAAGGGTACTACACCAGTGAAAATCAGCAAAGGAAGGCTGTGTACTACTACTAGTACTAAGAAAATTGGCCAAGGACCTAGCTTCCATGACTAAAGTAGTAGTACTATGGGCTGTTATTCCTAAAACCTGTATTGTTTCCTTTCAAGCCTCATCTGTTTATAACAAAAACTTCAATGCCACTTAGAAATGGTGGTGTCAAGAAGCTTCTGCAGTGACAGTGATTGCCTCTAGTACTATTGGTGGAAAACAAAGTCTTGTTTTGTCCTTGAAATTTGATATGGATAGTGTCAACTCAGCACCAGCAGGACCTAATCTTTGTTCAGTCTTTGCTCAAAGAAGATATAGGGAATTGACCTTCATCCTGAAAAATACCTTCACTGATATTCACTTTGTAGACATGTCCCTCAAATTAGGAGTGCTACTAGTAGTAGTAGTAGTAGTGTTTTTTTGTAGTGTTTGTAGTATCACTCCTCTACTAAGACAACAAAATTTGTCATTTTTGTTTTTTTTCCTTCCTTGTCCATGGAACAAAAATATTTTTTTGTAGAAATTTCTCTATATTCCATATTCCATATTCTACTACTGCAGAGCAGCACATATATAATTGGACAGAATCTTGCAGTCCAAACAACACCCATATTTGAACTACTACTAGTACTACTACTACTACTAGCATGATGCTCAGCCTGGAAACACTGAGTGTTCTGTGAGAAGTTTAGTACTGTATGTAGAAAATGATGATAAGCCTGATGGTGCCATTGTTTTTTCACATGTGAAATATTTCAAAGTACTGCAATCCATGTTTACAACTGCAACTACTAGTAGTTGTCCTCTGAGTACCAGGATGGGACATAAGTATTTTTAACTACTAGGACTGATTCATTTGTGAAATTTGTCCTTGCTCAAAACTCAACAAGAACAATGAGCTGCTGCTGTTTGTTTTGAAAAGCAGCTATTGCTATAACTAGTAGTACTAGTAGTATTGCAAATGGGACCAGAATTTACTTCTATTGCTGCTGTGGTTCTTGCTGCTGTCTTAAATCTCAAACATGAATAGACGACTGGTAGTACTATTTTTAGTAGTAGTAGTAGTAGTACTAGTACTAGTAGCAGAAGAGGCACTATAGTAGCAGTACAACCACTACTGCCCCCACCATTAGCACTACTTTACTTTGATACATTGTTTCAGCACTCTGATTACACACCACTCCTGAAGAACAGAAAAAGTTGCTAATATGCATTCGAGAATTCCTGGTTCACAGTAGTATTGTTGGTTGTTTTTGTTGTGAAGAAGAACAGCACCAACAACAGCACTGGGGTTTTACTGGTGGTGGTATCTGATCAACAAGTAAGAAGCATCTACTACCCCTTTGTTTTGGGGAGCTATGTAGTAGTGGAGTTCTTATTTCTCAGCTCCAAGGGGAACAATACAACAATAAAGATCTTCCTCATGGGCATGACTTCTCCTAGAAAAAGTCACTGCAATGCAAGTGGTTGAAGAAGAATGTTTGACAGCTGTTTACATTGAAGTCCCAAACATGCCCAGCACGCACCACCAGCTTATTTTTGCTTGATCCTGTTTGTCCAATGCACACCACCAACTTATTTCTGCCTGACAATCCTACTAGTAGTAGTAACCCTTCCTCTCATAGGCCACCGATATTTCTTTACTATATAACCTTCATGTCCACAAGAAAACTTTCTACAACAACATCATATGGCCACTGCTGTAGTAGCTTCTAATTTTGTTGAAACACAACACAGGTCCCTACCAAATCAACATAGTACTGCTGCTACTAGTACTACCTATTATTACTACTAGTAGTACTAAACTCCAGCCTCTGGAGGGCATCACACGACATGACATACTGATCTTTGACACATTCATCATCCAAGAAGAAACAACACAAAGCAAGAAGAAGCAACATTGCCACAATTGCCCCTCCCTTCTTCTTGTTTTGTTAATTATGTAACCTGCACCATACTACAAACAACTCATTTGAATTATTTTAGCACCATGAATCAAGCACAAAAAACAATTTATTCTAGTTGTTGTACCTCCACCAAACCAACTTATTGTCAGGAGAAGAAGGAGATGTCACCCCTCACCAGAGTGACTAGTAGAAGATTCTTGTCCTAAGAAGTTATGGTTCTGCTGGCCAACATGATACTACTACTAGTACTACTGCTACTACTAGTTGTAGAGCCTCTTCTGATAGATCACAAAAAGAACAAGGAGATTAACAACAAGAAAGAAGAGGAGGAGGAGGAAGAACAACAATGATAGTACTAGCACTACTATGAGCTAGTAGTAGTATTGTTAGTAGTACTAGTAGTACTACTACTAGTATTAGCTAATTTAAGATTTTTCAAAATTCCAGCAATCAACAAGAACAAGCAACAACAATGAAGAATCTTTCTTCCAACAAGAACAAGAACCAGCACCAGAACTTCTTCTTGCTATGCTGATATTGTGCTACTGCAATACCACTTTTCCAAATATATGTTCTTTGTGATTCTTTACACCATACTAACCTCTGCAATGGCGGCTCATCCAATGAGGAACGGTCACTTCGGTCAAATTTACGTAACATTAAAGCACTTTTTTCTTTTTGTCATCATGATACTTCGAAAAACCGTTGATTCCGCGCCTTTTAGAACCCATAGTCCGAATTCGGCGAAAGCTTGCCATTAATTATTACCGCCAGTATGGCAATTCTTTTATTTTTCAACAAAAACGAAGCAATTTCTTTCACATGCCAAAAGACTCCGTGGTCGTTACTCGTACTCGTAATGGTGCTGGTGCTCTTCATAGAACTCGTAACCCTATGGTATGGTAGTCTATATTACAGTACAAGGGAGTACGTACATACACGACGAACGAAGAAAAGAAGCACAAAAAATACTCGTTCTCTTCCTCTCGATGTAAAACATAACCCGTTAGCACAACCTACTAAACCGCATAACTTTTCCGAAGGGCGCTAGTTTCCACTGCAACAAACATAGACCTTTTCCACTAAACATAGGATCAAGCTTTGTTACAAGTACTCTTGTTCACTTGTATTTGCACCAGCATCCAAACCGATAGCACGGATCAAAACCGGAACCAACAACCAACGAGTACATGCTTCTAGCACAAAACTACAAGAAAAATTAATACCAACTGATCCACAACATGACGTCTATGGATCGAGAGGATGTCGCCATTATTCGCGCCCTTCCCGGAAACAATCGCTGCATTGACTGCGACCGCATAAAACCCCAGTGGGCATCGGTTAAGCTTGGCATCCTGGTATGCCTGGATTGCAGCGGGGTCCACCGGAGTTTAGGAACCCACGTATCCTTTGTCCGTAGCGTGAAGATGGACTCATGGTCCCCCGACCAGATCGCCTTGATGAATGCCGGTGGCGGCAATGATGCCTGCAAGGCGTTTCTGGAAGACAAGGGGATCAATATGGAAGCGAAACTGATGGCAAATCCGACCGAGGCAGCGGCGGCGATTCGTCGAAAGTACGATTCGCCCGCAGCGCAGCTGTACCAAAAAGTACTCAGGGCCAGAGTGGACGGCGAACCCGAGCCGACCGAGCTTGCCGAACCGGTGGTAACCCTGCAAGCCAGCGGTAGCGGCGACAATACAACCTCTAAAACTTCGGGAAGTGGTGGTGCCGTGGGCCAGCCGCCGGTAAAGATCATGGAGGGCTTCGGCAGTAGTCCTCACCCATCCGAGCAAAAACGCCGACGACCAAAGATCAGCAAGAAAAAGATCGCAGGCATCGGGGCCGCGGCGATTGGCGCTATAGCTACGGTTGGGCTGTTCCGAAAACGCTCCAGCAGAAAACTTTCCGGGAAGGTTTAGTTTTGTGTGGTGTCGCGAATTCCTTCTTGTTTTGGTTTTGTGTTAAAATCGAATCGAACCTACTCCAACCGAACCTTACAGAAGCAATGGATGGATGTTTATCAAGACGAAACGAATCCGTCCTGGCACCGAAAGAGAAGGAAACAGAAAGGTCAGTATCATACTAATTATGAATCATCCATGGGGAAAGAATAGTCTATTTTCATGTTACTGATTGTGTCTTGATCTGGGAGGGGTGGTATTTAAATTGAGAAGTATTGCTTGGACACTTCGTAAGTTCAACTTTGATTCAAACCGTTTGTCTCGGATCTGGGTCAAATATCGTTTGGCGACATGGTGCGTCCTTCGGTTCTTCTGTACTTTTCCAAAAATAATAGTAAGGCAGCGACGGAATTGATGTATGAAATTAGTTCGTTAGATATGTTTGAATCTCGTGCATCAACCGATCTTCCGCCACCATATTTCTATAACACCAACCACCGGTTTCAAATCAAAAGAAACACAGGATATGCCTGAGCGATTTCAAAGAAACTTTAAAGATAGATTTGTATATAAATAGACTGTGCGACATTCTCCGCTAAATTTGCTCCGCGAGTTCAAAGTTTGAGTAGTTGGAGATATCAAAAAATTAGATTTTGTTATTATTATAATAATTATAGTGGTTACAAAATATCAACTGTATCAGTTCTGGCACGGAATCACCGGGAAGACTATTAGCAGTTCTATCCTTGCGTTGGTTAATTTAGTTACTATTTTTCCCACTCGTCGCGCCAGCAGACCGATTTGGTTCGGACAAATTTAGGATTATGAAAACATGGGAAGCTTGAAACCTCCCTTGGAGCCGCTAGCACTCTTGATTTCATCGAGAGCTTTAACGGCTTCATCAATGTGGGCTTCGGCCTTTGCGAGGTCGTCGTAGACCATAACGCACTCTCCGTTCTTGTCCAATACATAAGTGACGCGACCTGGGAACAGTCCGAAGGCAGCCTTCGGGACACCAAATTCCTTTCGCACAGCGTCGTTCTCGTCGGCAAGGATCGAAAAGGTAAGGCCTTCCTTCTGGGCAAATTCCTGCTTGGATTCGACGCCCTGTCCAGAGATTCCTACGACGTCGGCTCCGTACGTCTTGCGGATTTCTTCAATGCGAGCATTGAATCCCTGAGCTTGCTTTGTGCAACCCGGGGTCGAGTCAGCTGGATAGAAGTAAACAACGAGGGGCTTCTTGATGGAGGATCGCTTGATAGTCTTTCCGTTTTGGTCCACAAGGGAAAAGTCAGGGGCAGCTTCTCCGACAGCAAGGTTGAGAGCGGTCGACGACTTAGCTGTAGCCGAAGGAGTGAAGGCATTGGTGGAAGCTACCAAACAGGCGGCAGTGGCAATCGCGGAAACGAACTTCATCTTGTTGTATCGTTTTGTGTGTTGTTATTGTCTGCGCAGTTGTTTTGTGAAAACCAGTTGTGGTGAAAGCGCTGGAGAGTCAAACGCGTTCCGAGAACAAATCGGAAGGGAGCTTACGTTCTTCTGTACCGCCGTCCAGAGCGAGTATCAGAACTGTCACTGATGGCCACATGCTGCGGTGGTAGAAGACTTTCTGGACTGATAATCATGGCAAGCACGGTCTACCGTACGGTATGGCTCGTGATGTATTGTCACTACCATATCGGTACCTAGCTGATGCTCATACATCATGTGTTGTACCCGTAGTACTCGTACGACAAATAGGAAAAAAAGATACTGTCTTCAGATTTACTGTATCGGACGAGTACGTACGCGTAATCGTACCTTTTCGTAGCCAAGTCAAGGAGATGTAGTAAGGCAGGGGTCATACCCCTGTAGTAAGGTACGTACGATCGTCAATTGAAAAAAGCAAGATTACGGTAAATCGATAAATCGATTTCCTACTGATGTAACTTGTGATTCAGAGTGACTCAGCAGAGTTTTCTCTGAAGTGCGTTGGTTCTTCTTTAAAGGTACGAGTATGGTACGTAGTTACTCGTGCTTTTCAGTACCTGGTAGTATTTTGGTTGATTTTTAGTGGTCGATATCTCTTGTCTGGTCGAATGCAAAGTAGTTGAGTACCTGGTACAGGTTCGATGGGTTACGTATGATACGTATGGTACGTAGGGTCCATATGAATAATTTCTATGAATCGATAATCGTCTTTGTACCGTACGGAATTCACACCGTACTTAAATTCCGGTGACATCATAGATGAAAAAAAGCTTTGTTCCTTCTATTGTTGAACCGATGGCATACGTTAAGTACCCAAGTACCGTGGGCTTTTATTCATATACCTTACAGTATAATTATGGGTCTAGTCTTTGTTCAATGGAACAGTCGTTGGTTTTTGTGATTAAAAACTGGAATAGCCCATTCCAACTGATTCTTCGGAAGAATCCAAAAGATGCCTTTTGTCACACCTCTGTTCCGCTGAAACCAGAAGTTCGCTGTGAATTGAAGAAAAGAAGTGCAGTTCGAAATCACGAAACAGTATGCTAGCGCCAACACCAACACCAACACCAACACCAACACCAACACCA